TTGGAATTTAGCCGCCCGCTCAAATCGCACGTAAGGTTTCAATGTTGTACACTCACCCACCACGCACTTGGAAGCAGGTCCTGAAGCTGCTGCTACGCCCATTTTTGGGAGAGCGTCTTGGCGTTTGTTAGCTCGACCTGGCTAGGTTGCAATGGTGGAATATTTGGGCACCCGCAGCCTTGGTTGCTGGAGGCCGACAGCCACTCGGCAACTTGACCCGTTTGGGGATCCTGCTGGGGGCTGAGATTTCTTAGGGACTTGAGCTATCAGAGGGGTGGCAACTTGGTGCAGCGTCATCGAAATGACCCGGGCATGATAATGTCTCCTCTGTCAAGGCATCATTGCGGTCATTGGTAGATTTGCATATTGCCCTTGCCATGATGTGGCCTCAGAACAGGTCGCAGTTGCTTTTGCAGCGAATCCGATCATGATTGGGGGTGTCGTTGGCTTGGCACTCGGCAGCTCCGGCTTCATGAGCTGACTGAAGCATTAGACGTCCACTCCGTTTGTGGAATTAGCAGTACTTACAACGCGCAATATGACATGTCCTTAACCGTGAGCAAGGCGCCCTGAATGGCGCATGCATTCGTAGCCTATGCCCTGCTGGTCTGGCAGTGACCAGGTTTTATCATCACCTCGCTCAACCTCCTTTGCCTAGGTCGCCTGGATGGTGAGGAGCCAAGAGTTTTGCCTGACAAGCTGCCAGACGTTGCGTGGGAGGTAATCCTGAATGAGCACCTACAGCAAATGTGTGCATGACGGTTTTGACATGGTTTCTGACTAAGAGCCCCAAGACCCGAATGATCCCGAATGTACTGGTGTAAGGCACCAAATACCAGGCAGATAATACTGCGGGATTTGGAATGTGTTCTTGTACTCTAAAGAATAATGGCAGTAGTGATATCGTAGAAAATGGCTTACTATGAATACAATAGGAAATATGAACAAAGATTATTGTTATCATTATTGTTATGATTATTCTAGTTCTTCTTGTTATTATTATTACTACTGTTACTCTGGTAGTCCAAAAGCGACACAAACTAGCTTCTAGAGAGGTTATCTGCGGAGTGGCTTTATCATCACAGCAAGGCAAACAAACTGTAAAAAAATCAATATATGGCGCGCCGATCAAAGCAGCTTTTGAAGTGACGTTCTTACTAGTGGTTAATTAGTAGGGAATATGGGTCGAATATGGGAATTATTTGATGAGGATTATATGGGGAATATATTCCCTTATTCCCTACTAACAACCAGTAAGATCTTCAAGGATCTGCGTAGTGGCATAGGAGACAGCACGCTGGTTGACGAAACGGTTCTGAGCTGCCGTTTTTCCTTCCTTTGTGCATTGAATGTAGACCGGGCCCATTTTCGGCGGGATCAGATCGAACTAGGCAAGCCCCATAGAAGCATGTACCTACATGACTCCACACATTCCCCTTTGAAGTCCTCATAATCTTAGCTCCGAAGCCTCGAGGCATAACTTACTGTTGAGGACAAGTCTCAGTCGACAGGTTTTTTGGGATTGCTTAGTGGGACTGTCTGAACATCTGTCGTTTCAGGGCGGTCACTGCGCAGTCCATAGGAGCTGAAAAACAGACTAAAGCCTCTCATCCCCGACACTCGACACAGAGAGATATGGCAGAGATGGCACAATTAGAGGCTACCAAAAACATTGGGACCCAACATAGCGCCCCCAAAAAGTATGATCCTCATTATAGATACCCTCACAAAGAGGGACACGAAGTTTATGGTAACCCCTATTGGACCTTCAGGTGCCATCCTCGCGCGAAGCTCCCTGCGGGGCCTTGGGAATTTTGCCGGCCTTCTGGGTCTGGACCCTGGATATGATTGTTACTGGTTATTGCCAGATTATTTCAGTCCTCATCTTAGTTTTCAGTGTAGTGGTGGTGGTGGTGGTGGTGGTGGTGGTGGTGGTGGTGGTGGTGGTGGTGGTGGTGGTGGTGGTGGTGGTGGTGGTGGTGGTGGTGTGACACAGTCGAGGGCGGTTGGGAGGGACTCTGTGGGTGTTATGGGCGGGGGTATGTGGAGAAAAAGGGACCTTTGGGGCTGCAAGGACAACACCAGCTCGGGGCAGAACAAGACAAAGCTACCGGAGCTACTGCCACGCGGTTTAGGATTTCACATTTGGGGATTAAGGTTCAGGGTCTAAAGCCGGGAAGACGCATCCCTCGAAGATTCCTCAAACATCCCGGGAGAATTTCCAAATCTGGTGCAGAACGCTGTGAGCCTGCCAAGCCCTTGGCAGAGCTGTGAGCCTCTCCCTAATCTCTTACGCTAAGATCTGATCTTCTTAGTTGCCAGTGCACCGAATCTGTTGTCCCTTGAGTTTTGAATCAGCTTCACCTTTAAAAAACCTAGAAAATGCCGCATTGTAATCTGCACACCTTGGCCCCAAATCCCTCTTTTTGGAGCCCTCTGAAAGCACAAGACCGCAACTCTCCTACCTTGGCCCTAAACCCTTGTGCCTGTAGTGGTCATGGTGGCGGAACTAATAGTAGCTACTAGCTTTTCATGGACAGCGCTTGGCTTGGCCAAGCACGTGCTTAGGAACCACGTGGTACTTGAAGATCTTCATGAAATTTCTGGGTCACAGCCGCGCTAGCGAGAGTCACAACATCCGAAATCGCTGACATGTAAGGGAAGTCCCAGGGTTGACTCTGGCTTCACTTGAAGTTACTGGTGGTTAGTAGAGAACAAGGGAACATAATCCCAAAATACTACCCTAAAAATATATTCCCTTATTCCAGTAAGAAAAGCTTAGTTTGGGAGTTCAGGCTTGGGGTGCGGGGTCAAGCCCAGGTGTTGGCAGTCTTCAGGCTTGGACTTGGGAATGTTGCCTGAACACTGCAACCCATCTACCAGACCCACTGGCTTCTTCCTAGCTGAGTTTCATCTTTTGAGTATTTCTGTTGCCTCCCTGTATACCACAGAATAGAAAGCTCCTGCTAGTAAGAATTAGAATCCAAAAGGTTTTGCTAGAAGATGTCCACAATCTGGAGGAGCCGAGCATTTGAGTATTGAGACTCAAGGTTGGCGGCTTGCTGCTCAGGTTTCGGGGTGCTATTGGCCGGTTGCTTCAGCAATTCTGGCGCCAGCTACTTGTCCCAACCCCAGTCCCACTGTTGCTGGACTGAGCACCGCATTCTGCATCTGCTGAGCTAAGCAACAATGCCTAAGCTGGGGGTTACTGAAAGTCGTGAGTGTATAGTCTTCCAACAGTGTTGGACTTGGCACAGAAGCTGGTAGCTATAGAGGATGGCAGAGCGGCTCAAGGGCAGGTTGTCTAAAAGTACATTAATTGTGTCAAAGGACTGTCTTACAGCATCTCTCATTGTATGCAAGTGCATCAAAGAGAAGGCGCTTGGTCTTGTGGGCAGACACATCAGCTCTGCTCAGCCCTGAAGGTATGGCCTTTTCGGGTGGGGAGCTTGGCTATTACCTGCAAAACAGCCAGCCTGCCCGGTCTTTGCGGGCAATGATTGACCCCCAAAAGTGAAAACAGTGTAAAGCCGACTTTGAGGACCCAAGCAGTGAATCATGTTTTCGAGAAGCCCCGTTTGGCAAGCTGCCAACATCTGCCAACCGATTACAGCTCCTTATTGATTATTCCGCTTCTGCCTAATGTCGAAACCTGAAATGCGCCCAAGGTCCTCCAGATTTCCTTGTGCAAACATCTTGTGATCCACCGCAGCAATCCGTTTCTTGCGATACATGCTCCTACCCTGACATTTGCTGAAGTTTGTTCAAGACAGCGGTGGCCAGCAGAGCAATGGAGTTCTGGGCTTAAGCGTACGACTACTTCTTGTTCCTCTTGTACTATTATTACTACTACTCCTACTCCTACTCCTCCTACTAGTACTACTACTGCTACTGCTGCTACTGCTACTTCTTCTTCTCCTGCCACTACTGCTACGACTACAGCAGCAGCTTATAAGTGTCAAGACCATTCGTACTTAGAATGGTCAATTAAATCTCCATGCTAGCTTCGACTACCCTAAAACTCTGAACCCTTGAGATTTCTATTGAGGGCTCGGGGCAGCCTGAGGATTTATGCCTTGGTACTGCAGAGTGGCTACGACCGTCCAGCCCGGGCCGCATCCTTACCTTTCCCACAGTGATAGGGTTAAGGGTTTAGGATTACTGTATACCAGCATGCTTGGCCACAGTTGCGGCTTCTGGCATCTTACAGTTCCAGATTCAAAAGGGTTACTGTGGGGATCCCTGTACTCAAGTTGTTTTCAAAGTGACAGGTTGATTTTCACAGCGCCCTCATGAATGCAAGACCCGCTTGATTGATTGAAGCCAGCAGATGCATTGTAAGAGTGCCTATAACATCCAAAGGGTTCCCCGATCATCCTTAGATGAGCTGTGGTCTAAACTCCTCACAGGGGCTTATATAGGGGATCATATAGGGGAGTAGAGTAGGGGTTCTTAAGGGGGATACTAGAAGTTTAGACTATAGCTCAGATGGGGTGCAGATCTCAGTCGTTGCAGAGAAGCTTGAAATAGCAATTTTCCAAAACAGGGGGACCCCGACATAGACGCCAAAAAACTATAATCCTTCTTATGGCGACCCCCAAACATGTACCCTAGTTTTGGGAAACCCAAATCGCCATACACCCCTATATAAGCCCAGTTTCCTCATGCCCATGTTCTTTTCCAATTGATTCTCCATGATTGCGGGGTAATGTCCCTAAACCCTAAATGTAGTAGTTTTTGCCTCAGCCATGCAAGTGGCGAATAGTAGTTTCCATCGTCTTTTCCATTTCCTCATATAATCCCTTATCTGGGAAATCTGAGGATGGCATCTCGGAGCCGGAGAAGTCCTTCAGCCTCACAGCTACTGCACTGCTTGCCAGCCTCTGAGGAGCACCTTGTGGCCTGAAGTTACTGGGGTTAGTAGGAATAGGGGAATACAATGCCTACATAATCGGGATGCGCATCAGAAAAAATTCAGGATCCAAAACTATTCAGGATCCAAAAAGTTTTCTAATTCGGGATCGAAGAAAATTACCCAGCGATCCTTGTACCTGTCATCGCTTTTGAACCTCGGATCCTTCTAGAACTTGGAAAACGTCAACAGTCACAGAGGCCGCGGGGTCGGGGTCGCAATCCTCGCAACTGTCGTCGCTTTTAAACCCTAGTTGGAATCGTGTCAGCAGCCACAGCGATCGTCGTAACTGTCATCACTTTTGGAGCCTCGAATCCTCTTGGAGTTTTCAAAAGTGTGAACATTCACAGGGATCGCGGGGGTCGGGGTCGCAATCCTCGTAACTGTCGTCGCTTTGGGACCCTCTTGGAGTTTGAGCAATGTCAACAGTCACAGGGATCGTGAGGGCCGGGGTCGCGATCCTTGTAACCGTCGTCGCTTTTGAACCCTCGGATCCTCTCAGAGAGAGACAAGAAGAAGGTAGCCAGGAAAGCAAACAAGCTTGGCCCCCCAGAATGCCAGAAGATGGACTTGTTTGAGTGGAGCGTTGCAATACCAGCAAATGCTGTAAATTGCAGTGCTTTCAGCTTTCCAGGACCAGGAAGCGCTGTCATTCGCAGCGTTTTGGGAGCGTTCCACAGTTGAAGCGTTGCAAGACCCGCAAATGCTGTAATTTACAGCAATCGGACTTTCCCCGGACCAGCAAATGCTGTGATTTGCATCGTTTAAAGCATTCCAAGACCAGCAGGCTTGATAATTTGCAGAAGTAGAAGCTGCTCAGAGCAGTAGTGACGTAATTTGCAGCATTTGAAAAGTTTACACTGTTCCAATGAGATGTTGTAATTTGCAGCATTGAAGACCAGGAAGGAGCGAATGTCAAACACTACATACATTTTTTAATCTCCTGAATTGAGTCAAGTGGTGCTGCTCCTGCCACAGTTGAAGCGTTGCAAGACGAGCAAGCGCCACAATTTACATCATCTCAAGCTTCCCAGGACCAGCAAATGCTGTAATTTGCATCATTTAAAGCATTCCAAGACCAGATCTTGTAATTTGCAGCAGTTGAAGCGTCTCAGAACAGCAGCTGCTGTAATACGTAGCGTCTGAAACAATCAAGACCAGCAGACGCTGTAAGTTGCAGCGTTTCAAGCGCTCCAGTAGCAGCAAATGCTGTCATTTGCAGCGTTTGACTGGGTAGGCCCCTGGGATGTTTAATATTTTCCCTAATTGCTTTAATAGGGGACCCTACATATTAATATTTTTCCCAGGGGTGCCAGGGGCCAACCCAGTTGAGATTTGTCAACAACAGCAAACGTAGTACTTCAAAGCGTGGCAGACACGATTTTTTTTAATCTCCCGAACTGTACCCAGTGTTGCTGGCCCCAGTACGTAGCTTCGAAGACCCTAATGTGTTTTGATTCTGAAATATTGTTCAATCTGGAAATTGTTTCTGATGAATTGGATGATTTTTTGATGCTAATACTTTAACCACCCACTATATAGTCTCCATACAGTATATGCCATTCTTCCCTACTAAGCACATTTAAGTGAACATGCCATCCAGACCATGGATAGCACGTATGGGGTTCTGAAGTCTTGAATGCTCTTGGCCTGACCACCTTGAGGCCATGGGCATCCTTCTGTCAGTGCCTACTTCGCTTGCAAGCCTGTAGCATGATTATCGGGCGCTGAAAATCGGCGATCGGAAGCACTTGCAAATCCTGGCAAGAAATAACATGTGTGTGCCATTGCTAGTCCCGCCACTGGCGCTGGTGAGATCTGATGACTGCGGATGCATGTGGCCATGGGCATGGAGTGACCTGTACTTCACATGTCTTGGCCTCAGCGCGGCCCAGATGCGATCCAAAATAAGCCATGCCAAGACCAGCTTGGCCTGGTGTCCAGCCAGTTACCCAGCGGAGAGGTATACAACATGCATGCAGATGTATCGGTAGCAATGCAGCGGCCGATGGAGCAGCCAGCGAACTTGCATCAACCTGGAGCGGGCGGAGTGTTGCCTGCCCAACTCTTCCCACGCCCTGGCCATCCGGGACAATGGATCCAAGCACTGCCAAACCAACTTGTGAGGCCAGACTCATGCGCATGCAGTTTCTGAAAATTCTGGATTCCATGTAGCTCATGCAATTCTGTCATGACGTTGGTCATTGCCAAGCCGTTGATGCGGAATGACTCGTCCCACAGTGCAAGCCATCTGGCTCAAGCTTGCACTAGACATGGACTGGGCTGCAGCCCAGATGCAAGATTCGTAGGGAGCCGGCCTATTTTGGGCCGCAGCTTTCGCAGAGAATGTCCAACACCAAAGTTTTGGGCCCGAGTTCTCGCAGCTCCTCCCAACGGAGTTCGACATCCTCAGCACCTTCATTGGCCTCGAAGGACTCAAAGACGCCTTCCTTGAAAAGCTCGGAGGGGCTTGGCAGCCCTACCACAAAAACCGGCCGATCTGCTTCGCCGGAAAAGCCCAAATCCCCAAAGGAGAGCAAGGGCGATGCGAAGCAAAAGACTTCGGTGACGAGCAAGACATCGAAGACCAAGAAAGATGGTAAGGACACAGAAGATTTCTTTAGCATGATCCCATGTGGGACTCCCTTTGCTCAGCTCTCCAGTCTCAAGGAGGTCCAAAATGATATAGATGCCCTCACAGAGCTAATCATCAAGAAGCTCCAGTGCTGTTTCGTCATGTACGACTTCAGAACAGATAGGAGAATGACTGAGAAGGAGGGCAAGCGCTACACACTCCTGGAGGTCCTAGCATACTGGCCGGCTGACAAAGGAGATGATAAGAAAAAGAGCAACCCAAAGATTGGCGGCAAGAGTGAGGAAGACCCAACCAGTTCGGCAATCTTAGCAAGCAGCACTGGCACGGAGACCGAGAGCCAACACTCCGGAAAAGGTGGGGGCACGCTCATCGGCACCGTGGTGGAGTTGGTAAGAAAACACGCCTTCCGAACCCTCATGCACAAAGACCGCACGCCCATGGACCTGCTGGACGGTGACGACGAAGAGCCCCTCTTGGAGCAAAGCTGGCCGCACCTTGAGCTTGTCTATGACGTGTTCCTTAAGGCGGTGCAGAGCAAAGACCTGGACTACCCCCTTGCCCAGGCATCCGGTTTGGACAAGGCTTTTGTGACTAAGCTGATCGACCTCATTGAGACCGATGATCCTCGCGAGCGGGAAGTTCTCAAGACTCTCATCACGAAGATATACAGCAAGCTGAGCAATCTTCGCTCCACAATCCGGCGAGCAATCCAGGCATTCTGCCAGAGGGCTGTGCAAATGGAGGATGGGCAAACTCCCCAGTGCGGACTCTCAGAGTTGCTTGAAATATTTGGGGCTCGCATTGTGGGAAGTTTTCAGACACCTCTCCGGAAGGAGCACCGCGATGTCCTCACCGATGTGCTCCTTCCCCTGTACAAGCTTGACCACTTGTCTTTCTTCCACTCGCAGCTCAAGGACTTGGTGAAATCCTTTTGCAAGAAGGATTCTGGCTTGGCCAAATCAGTAGCATTAGGTCTGCTACGCTACTGGCCCCAGTGTGCCAGCTCAAAGCAGACCATCTTTCTTGGCGAGCTGGAGGACATGATCCACCAGATGCCCAGCACCGATTTCAGGTCTATAGGTCCTCAAGTGGCCAAGCGAGTCTCTGCCTGCGTGGTATGCCCACACTCAGAGGTTGCAGAGAAGGCTCTGAATATTTGGCGACATCAGCCTACTGTTCGGGCCACGGTCTCCTCCTGCAAGGAAGACCTGCCAGTGATTGTCAGTGCTTTGTACAACAATGTGACCCAAGCATGGGCCCCCAACGTGATGAGCAAGACGCTGGAGGTGCTCAAGAACTTCATGGATGCTGACCGAGAGCTCTTTGACAGCTGTTCCTCCAGGCATCGCAAGCAGGCTGACGAAGCTGACAAGCGCGAAGCCATCCGCCTGGAGCGCTGGAGGATCCTGAGAGCCATGCATGACAAGGTGCATGTGGGGGACAGGCTTTTCGAAATGCCCAGGTCAGCACCTAGAACACCAACAGGCCGGCCTCAGCTCCCCCTCAATGAAGAGGTGGCTTTGAAGCCAGATTCTAGTTGCGCATTCTCTTTGTGTTGGGACTGGGCATCAGCACCCTCTGTCGAGCAGTTGGCCTTGCAGGCGCTGATCGTCAACACGGATGGCAAGATCATAGATGCTGTCCACAACCGAAATCTGACAGCTTTCCAGTCTGCTGTGCGATTAACTCCGCGGGCACCTGCACAGAATATGTGTAGCGCCTGCTGCGGCACCATCTGGGTGTCACTGGACTTGCTTCCACTAGACGTGGCCATGGTGATTTGCATGGTAACGTCAGCTACGGGAGTGCCCCTTGCAAGCATTGCATGTCACATGGTCCTGAATGTTGACTTCAGTGGCAATGTTTGTCTGGGTGAAATAGCCACAGATGTGCCCACAGCGGCAAAGATGGGCTGCCTGAACGTTTTGAGGAGGCAGGACTGGAGCAACTGGACTATGGTCCCAAAGTGCGACTGGACAAAGCAGGCATGGCACTTCATGGATTTTCCGGACTTGCCTGGCAAGTTCATCAAGGAAGTGCTCCCCAACGTGCCAAAGAAGCAGAGGGCCCAGGCCTCGTTCGTGGCCATGGCGAAGGGATCCGTTGCAGATTGCCCAGTCTTCCCAGCAACCGGAGTCAACAAGCGGGTCTTTGTCGGTGCTGGTTGGGACTGGTATTCTACGGATGAGTCCAGCAGTATCAAGGTGGCCTTGGTTCTGCTCAATGCTGATGGCAAGCACGTTGCCACAATCTCGGCGGAGGAGTCCGACTCCGTCAAGGGTGCGTTTCACACAGGGGATGGGGCTCTTTCTGCCGGAGTCTTCCTGGAGCTGGACTCACTTCCGGAGGAGGTGGCGGTGGCATTCCTAGTTGCCCACATCCCAGATCCAGAGATCAATTTCGGCATGGTTCAGCAACCTCACAGCACAGTAATCGATGCAACAGGGAAGGAACTCCTGCGATACTTCATGCCGGAGGACAGAAAGAAGGCCAGCAGATACAATGGCCTCATAGTGACGCGACTGTTCTGGAACGAGTTTCAAGGCCGATGGAGTGTGCAGGCCCTAGGCCACTACTGCACTGGTGGGTCTTGGAATAAGTCTCAGACGGAGATGGCGAGCTTGATGGCAATGCCGCCTAGCAACTTGCAGACGTTGCTGATTGAGGACGAGGATTCGGTAACTCGAGGAGATCATCGGTCAACCACCGCAGCAAGCTCCACAAGCCAGAGTGTGATCATGTCCCTCTGAGTTTGGGGTTCCTGCTTGGCACCAGCTTCCGAGCGCAAATTTGCACATTTTAACTTGCTCTACGCCGCTTAGTGGTGTTTCAGGGCGCTGTTCTCGAAAGAGCATGCGCAACAGTTGCTTCAAGTGGGTGGGCCAGGGACGCATCGGAGACATACCCAGTAAGCACAAGCTGGCTTTCATCATGCTACGCGGTCTCCGCCACTGCCCTTACTCTACCACATGCTACATGTGATCTATCATGTATCTGCACAGTCCCAACCACACAAAATACGCAGTTTCACAGCAGTAATCTGCACAGACGACGCATGACCATTAGCCAAAAGATACCTCGATGTAGATTGCAGGATGTTGCTTGGCAGGAAGGTGTTCGTTTCGCTGAATTATAGTCCCCTAGCAGGTGCCTACCCCAATCACGAAACATTCAAGGCAGCTCCTCGTACTCAGAGTTATGAAGGGGGACCATAATCAAGTGAAGCGCTTCCGTACCAAAATCCTACATACCCAATTCCAGTTGAGCGACTCAGTCAAACATGTCCTTGCTTGCTGCGCTTACCTGCGCTGCAGCCAGGAATGCTGAGCAGGTGGTCGCCAGACCTGAGTTCATCGTTGGGGCACGGGTTGAGTTCGTCAGCCCTCGAACAGAGCAACTGATGCGTGGTACCATCACACGCCGCAGTCCCCTGAACATGCTGGAGGCCACAGAAGTACAAAGGACTGTGCGTTTTCTGCTGTGGGATGACAGTCGTTTTAGCTTTTGACCTGCTGAGACATCTGCCGAGCCTGGGCAATGGATCCCCGTCAACAACGCCACGTTGCGCTTGGTACAGCTTCTTGGCAAAGCATCCAGACTTCTCTTGCATGCCCGCTCTGCATGGGATACTTCGCAGTTTTCCGATGAATGGTACCAAGGCAGTGGGAACCGCCAGTTGCGAGATACCAAGCAGGAGCAACCGTGGAGTACTTCTCCAGAGGAAGAAATCAGTGGTTTAGGGGGCTCGTAACTTGGCTTTGCAGAAGGCAGTTTCAAGAAACGCCATTGGGAAACGACATGGTGATCAATGAATTGGTACAGTGTGGGCCTTGCGGATGTTTCATTTTTAATCGTTGTTAAATAAAGTGTGAGTTTCTATGCTAGTCCCCCATGGAGAATAGCTTACAACCCAAGTACCAAAAGCGAGCAACTGGGAAATGTAGTGGCAGTGATTTTTTGAGTCAGAATAACTGTCATAGCGGTAGCTTTAACCCTTCCCCTCTTCATTTCATGAGCAGCCACTTGCCGCGGATTGCTGCGGGCCAAGGTGACCGCGGTAATGCCCCAAAGCGGCAACATTCAAGTTTCGCTCAGGCACTGGTTCAGAGATGCTGAGAGGGCTTCGCTTCCAGCATGAAGCGAATGGAAGATGGGCACTGCGGCATAATATGGTAACATCACTATGCTGGGCCGCGAATCATAGCAAGTATACAGTATAAATAGAGTCCAAAGCGCCAGGCCTGGATATTGGATCAGCCCAGCAGAGCAGCAGGCACTGCTTAGACCAGCACAAGCTCAACCAGCGCTGTCCCGTGTTCAAAGTTTCGTCCCAGCTTCCAGAAGCCAACAGGCATCGAGCCGAGCTCCCGGGCTCATCTTGAGAACTCTTTGTGCTGACATGTGCAGAAATGCTTTGAGCGGGACGTGCAAAAGAACAAGATGAAGAAAGCTCGTTCCCAAGAACGTAGTCGGGAGAATCATGAATGCTCAGGTAACGCCAGAGATGGCCGTGCAGGGTGCTCACGTACGCTTCTGCTACGCGGGCATCTGGAAATCCTGTGTTGTTGACGGATTTCTTCCGCAGGACAGGGTGGCCATGATTCGCTGGCAAGAAGGGGGCAGTCGCTTGGTGGAGATTAAACACGTGTGGGATAGCGCCAGGGCCTCCAGAAAAAGGCCCTGCACGATCATGACAGCGAGAACAGGTCAGCACAACACAAAAACAGACGATGGATGTGAATGGCAATAGCAGCACAGATACAACATAAGCACAGCACTAACCTGCCCGACAAAAATCATTGCTGCTGCATTGCAAGGCACCTTCCGAGCAAGGACACCGCTTGAGCTGCTGGAGTTGGATCCAGCATTTGAGGAACAGGATGAGCTGGAGCCCCTTAACCTGCAGTGTAAGCCAGACAGTTGTATCATCAGAATCCCCAACACTTTGGAAGATTGACAAGCAGCAAAAACTGATTTGTGTTCATGTTCCAACTTCTGGGTCTCAAGAAACTGAGTTTCAAGCTTACGTTTTTCCAACTTGGTCCACTCGAGTGATCTCAAGTGATCAGCGAGCCTGCAAGGCGGTTGAATCGCCGCCTTTCCTTGGCCAGACTTGCGAATCCGATAGAGGATCACAAGATTCCGCAGCTGGAATTTGCTTGCTTCTCCCCACCTACTATATTAGAGTAATCTTGGACAGGGCACCCGTAGAATCGAGCATACCTTCATCCAGGGATAGTCTTGAGGCAGTTCGGGTAACCAGAGTCGCCAACAATATCTGGATTACGCCTATGAACATCCAGTTTTCATTTCAACTTCCATCTGATTCTTAAGTACACCAGAGACTTACTGCTTCTTCGTAGAGAAGAAGGGAATACATTTCCCATATAGCCCCTATACACCATATTCCCGTATTCCCTGCCAAGAACCAGTGAGTTTAGCATACCTCAGGTAAACCCTCCCACCCAGTAATACCCACCATAAGGGATAATAAGGATTATATCAGGGTCTTCCTATGTTCCTATTGTTATTACAGGGTGGGGGGTCCTCCTAAAGTATACCTAACTCGGGGACTCCAATATAGAACCCAATGTACTACAGCCCTTATTCTAGGGGCCCCAAAAAGGTACCCCTAATTTTAGGAAACCCTAAACCCGAATCCCTAAACCCTAGATATTTTGCTGGGTTTGGTTATGTTTGGTTATGGGTAAGTCGGTAAGTTCGGTGACCAGGCAGACAGCTTAGTGAGTGCGCTTCCCGTTGGGATCTTTGGGTTCGATGGGGTGTTGATTGGTTGGGTTTGGGTTTGAATTCTGATGGGAAGTGTTCCGATTTGCTGCGTACCGGCTTGGAACCTTGCGCTGCGGTATGGCCATGCAAGTAACAAGCCTATATAAACCCTATAGAAGCCCTATATAACCACTTGAAAGGTACCCCTAAATATTGGGAAACCCCCAGATGTTCAAGCCAGACCAAGGCAAGCCTTAGACGCGTTGGCCTTGCCGGGATTGAAATCAGATCCGCCTGGCCGCTTCAGGTTTAGGGGTTTTGGGTTTAGGGGGTAGGGATCAGGGATTAGGGTTTATAAGGTTTAGGGTTAGGTTTGAACATCTTGGGCAATATTGCGGTATTATTAGGGTTATATTGGGGTTATATTAGGGTTTTTAATGCTTATTACCCTTAATCTGTATATAATCCTTCCCTTAATCTGTATATAATCCTTACAAAGAGTCATAAGAGTTGAATTTTTATGGGGCCTCTAAACCTACCCTAGTGAGGGGTAGCTTTATAAGACAGACCCTATAGGGCCCCTGAACTACTTTGATGTACAAACATGTAGCTACAGAAAATATGAGGCTTTTCCAACATTAGGGATACCATTAAGGGGGGGCCATAATAAGGATTACAGTATTTTGGGGTCTGCATGGGTTCCATATGAGGCTAGGCTAGCCTTCACAAGCGTGCCTGGTTGAGCCGCGGCCTTGAAGGTTTGGCTTCTTGCGCACCATCAATGCGATTGTTTGCGCAAGACGGCCCAAAGCAGAGCAGCAGGCCAAACGCTGCTCTTCTACACTTCTCCCCTAATTCCCTTGGGAATTATTCTTATTTTTGCGTAGTACAACCCCCACGTACTATTAAACACATTTTTGTTTATGGAGATTGCAGTTCGTGCTTGATACCGTGCAACGCGCTGTATGAGTTCATAGGTTGCAGGACACGAGCTACGGAGAGGGTCAGAGCATACGTTCACTTGGAGTCCAGTTGCTGCTTGCCGAGTGGTGGTCCCCCTGTAGAAAGCACGCAGCCCTGTGCAGAAGCCGGCAGGTGTTCGTGAAAGTCCGCTCCGCAAATCTGACAGGTCTCCAGGCTGCTTTGGAACGAAGGGATGGGACCGGACCAAGCAGATTTGTTTGCCATGTTAAGGCCAGATGGGCAGGGACCTTTTTAGAGCTTGGTGATCTTCTTCCGCAGGGCTCCTACCCCCACGAAGGCATCTATGTCTTGTTGCTTTGACCCCAAGATGCTCAGAGAGCAATCGCAACGAACGTTTCTGGGCATTTTCCGGAACTGACCTGCGCCAGCCGTGGCACCCAGCTTGTAGATTGCAAGTTTCCATGTGGCTTCCACGTCTATATGTCCCAGTATAACAGCTCGTCAAAAGCTGTTTGGGCAGTAGCCAAGAAAATGAAACCCCTGCAGGTGGGACCTACCGCAGCCATGAGAGCCGGGAAGCTCAGAAGCGAACGCACGCCACCTTCGATGATGGGAGGCTTCCGACCAGAGTGGGGCTCCATGGACCGCAGAAAAAATAAGAGACTTGATTTGGGGGGTTTTCCATAACTAGGGGTACCTTTTTAAGACACCCCTGTAAAGGATTACAGCATTTAGGGGTGTGTATTGGGGTCCCCCATTTTGGGAAACTATCAGTTGCCAAAGGGGACCGTTGACGGCAGTGGCAACGGCAGTACTACATAGCATCGAACGCACCACTTTCAGATGGGTTACGGCAGCCACGGACACGTGAAAAAAGCAGAAACAGCACAAGTGGAGCACGATGCCGTGAAGCGACGTCGCAGCTTCGGTAAAGCTTGGCTTTTGGCCGATTCAGCAGCATGCCAGGTACGGAAGCTGATGGTATTGACTTTACTTTCAAAGCTCCAGCGGACGAATTTGATCTGGCTCTTTGCGTCAAGATATGCAAATCCGACACCGTGGCAACTGAAAAGTCAGTTTTGCTGCGAAGGCAATTTTCTTTTTGGTCCCCTGCGTCTGGAAACACCTGTGTTGACACTGCAGCCGGCTGACCCAACATGCTACAAGTCACTAAATCCATGTGGACTAGCAAATTTTCCTGCACCTGGCTCGTTGGATTGCATTGCCCAGGAAAGCAGATCGGATCAATCGCAGCTGCTCGCGGTTGCAGAGATGGAAGTTCCGCCTGGAAGGCATGTGGTTTTACACTGTGCAAAACAGCATGTTGTGGAGTGACTGCTATGTTTGGTTGGTGCTTGTCTGGGATCATGGTTGATAGACATGGTGATGCGATTCTGCGCACGAGTAGCAGGCCAGCTTGTTGTATGCCGGGGTGGTCTGCAGTAAGTTGGCCGCAGGCATGCGCACCGATTGCTGCTTTTCCCTACAATCGAGGACATCCCGCAGACCGCGCGGGGACCAATGATGTTGTTTCTCGAGACATCGATGGTGCAGGCTCATGTTGGCATTTCGTGCGCCTCATGTAGGGCAAAACCGATCCGTGGGCCCAGATTTAAGTGCAGCGAGTGCTCGAACTTCAATTTGTGTGCAGACTGCTATGCCTTGCGCGCGACAATCCACCCAAATCACGAGTTGGTGCGTGTGGAAATCACAGACTACTTGCAGCCGACTCGTTTGCCGTCCACGCGATCAAATATTTCTGTTGCCGATTCTGGTAGACATTTGTTTCAAGAGGCGCTGGTTGAAAGAGAGCTCGCAGATCAAGACCTGATTGTGGAGCTTAGTCGCAGCAACACTGGTGAGGCTGCGAATAGTTTGGGTCTTTGCTGTGCACCGGACGAGGACGACGCAGCGGTGTTGCTCATACAGGATATCCAGATGGGAGCCCTGATGTTTCCTCAGAAGCGTTCGGTGCATTTGTTGATCTTGTTTGTGATGCGTTAGGCAATACACCATGCAAAAAAAGTTAAAGGTACGGTAAGCGCTACAGTAAGACTTTTTCAGCCCTGCGCTCTGAAGCTGTGGAAAGCCGACAAATACCTCCAGAACCCAAGACACCTTTCAAGAATCCTGCGCTTTCAAAGCCTCAAGCCTCAGGCTGCACTGAAATAATTTCGGTAAAAGCGAATCGCATCCGTTTCTTAGGCACACCTGCCGCAGAGTGGAACGACAGACAAGATACTTCACAGCCATGGGGAACATTCATTTTGATTGGCGATGAGATCAAGGAGGTTAATGGCAAGACAGGCTCGGAAAACATGCTCCAAGAACTCAATGGGTCTGGCCCATTTGTCATTCACATCACGCGCCCTTCTCGCCGAGCACGTGCTGTGCTTGAAGCAACTGCCGGAGATGCGGCTGAAGCTTGACAGCAAGGTGCCAGCTACCACGCCTGGGTTCTTGTAGTACTGACTTTCAACAGTGTGTCCTGTTTGCACGCTTGGTACAGGATTCTGCCAGTGCCCCAGGTCAGCAACATCGTGTCAAAACCATCAAGGCCTCGCCCCTCCGTCCCCATAGTTTGCAACCTCGCCCCGGATGTATAGCATTTTTCACGTGTGCCGTTCCCAGTTTTTGCCATTGGGGGCGGGGAATCTGCGCAGAGCCCGTCTTCCGTTCATCGCACCATAAGAGGATGCACGCCCCTAGGCAAAGGTCCGCAGCGCACAGTCATCCAGCCGTTGCAACTGGCATTGCAGAATTTTTTTCGTGGTGTGAGCATTCTTGCGTCAGGCCGAAAGCAGGAAGAACTGAGGACTAATCGTTGCAGTCCTGCGTGAATTTCCAAACCTAGCGCAAAGGGCCTTGTGCATGTTGCAAGAGGTTGGACACAGCTTTACGCAGAGAAATCCTCGGGGACGCAATCTGAGAGTCCTTCCTTGAGTCAGCACTCTTTCGAAATCTTGAGACATGCCGCTAGCAGTTGTGCAGGGGTTGGGATTCCTGCCTTTGGGATGCCTGCCAAAAATCATGCCGGATGGCATGTTGCTGAACTGCTTCGGAAGCTCTGTGCATGCAGTATAGGGGCGTTCAGGGTGCGAGGCTTTTATTGCCTTTTTTTTGCATCTCTCGTAGGGGAAGTGCTGCAACCTTTTCACTTCAGCGCGCGCTAACCCCATAACGCTCAAGAAGCATAGCAAACGCATCTATGCAGAATTGTCATTGCTGTTCGAGATGCCTGAGTGACCACTCGCATGACGGGTTGCTGCTGGTTTGGGCCCGCCGGGTCACAATTTTTGCAACCATCATTGGCTGGAAACTTTGATCTCGCGCTCCGAGTTATTTCGCGTTCTCCCATCGCGCTTGGAAACCTCTTGAAGGGCTGCTTGGCACGCTCCTGCCGTGCATGTGAAGTTCGAGAGTTGGAGGCTCCATTCAATTCAACCGAACTTTGATGCGAGAGTAGGTACGTGTTCGACATGCTTGAAACGGTCAATGGATGCCTTGTTGTCAATGGCACTGGCCACTTGCTACTCCTCGGACCTTTACAACCTCTGATGTGTACGCGCTTGCGACAAGCTTGCAACAAGCTTGCTACTGGAGTTCTGGCATGACCCCGCTTAAAGAGGCTGCCTAGCTGGCTCAGCTCGCGGCCGGCGACAGACAACTGGAAGGGCTTCCCCCGCACATGCGCCTAGAAAGGGCTATCGAAACCGAAACCGCACACGTTTCTAGTTGTGGGATGACCGGGGCCCTGGCAGCCGAATTGGCACTTTATTCCGGAGTATTGCAGTCCGAGGCAGCTGGGGACATCTTGCTTGGTGACGATGCTGCAACGGCCCTCCACCTGAATGCCAACAACGAGGCACTGGTCTTAGTCAAAGGTCCAGCAAGGCATGGCCTTGCCATTTCAGGTTGTGACCCCATTACGCATCACTGCGTCTCACTCTCCACGAATGCAAATTTATCCAACCTGAGTCTACCTATACAGTCTCGCCTCAAAAGATTCTTAGGGACATGTCGTGCTGGCGGTTGCGCTTCAGGAGCTTTATGTTGTCTAGCATGACACTCGCCCAAGCACTGGGCTACCAACTCATCCACATGACAGCCCATGACCGCATTCCTTCGCTGCAGCAGGTCTGCGGTATTTGCACGGACACTCGTACACGTGGAGGACTGTCCGCTGGGTGAGCAGCTTATTCCTTGGGCGCTGTTCCTCTAATCCCTGCTCTTCATTAAGAAGGACCCCCCCGAATACTGTCCGAGCCCCGCTATTCTAGAGCGCCGAGATCCGAGGACATCCAGAAAGGAAAAGTAATTCATGCTAAGTACAGGTAGCGAAAATAAAACAGAAGTAGCAAGAGCTGGGTAAGAGGTAAGAGCAAGAGTGTGCGCTAGAGGATGAGGAATTACATCTCAATCGAATGAATGAGATGAGTTTTATTGGAACATATTTGTCTTTGTCTAGATAAGTTGAGTTTTAAGTGATGCTGGATAGATTCTAACTCAATTTGGTTTTAATCTGATGTTTTATTACTCGTACTAGAAAATTAGACAATGTTGCTGTAGTCCAGAAGGTTTTCTTTAAGTGTGCAGACAGATCCTCTGACGCGAGGTCCGTAAGTGCTAGCTCAAGAAGCAATGTCTGAGCTTTAATTGGTTCTCATAAGCAAGTCAGCTTTTGGAAAAGCTCTCCAACTGGTCTGAGAGCAGCCAGGGGTTAAGCAAACTTTCCTTATTCAGACTTTGGCTCGCAGGATCTAAAGCTAGACCTTGATGATTGGTGTCTGGAAACACATGGTCAATAGGCTGCCAATAGGCAATAGGCTCGTACAGCCACATAGTCCTGGACCCAGTTTGTGCTTAGGAATTTTGCGTGCACCTTGCAAATCGATATTGTGGCGGCCACAAGAGATAAGTCTAGGTCATGTGCTCGATGTTCCGGAATCCTTCATAGCAATAAGATTCTTCATGCAAAGTCTCCATACCCTGGAAAACGATTGACAGTCCAGAAGCGATAAGGATAGGGAACATTCAAAGCGTTGGGTTTCCGATTTTGCCGCAGGCTCACAGATCTTTGAAGTTGGGGTTTATCTGGGCCCAAAACGGCCTGTGCCTGAAAAGTGCTCTTGGACCCCCCAGAATGGCCCAAAACAATGTCTTTAAATCTAGGGGGCTTCATTCATGTTGAGCTCGGGTTACTTCTTGTTCTAATGTCCAGATTATGCAAAAGCCATGTACATGAGAAAGATGCCAGTGGAAATCTTCAAGTGTAAGCAGCCTTCAGATGTCAAATGTCGGGAGGAGCACTGCGGATTCGGCCTTGTGGCCATGGATGGTTCTGCCGTGGCTGTATCCAGCAATGGGCGGCTGTTCAGATGAGTGATGGTGCCTAAGCGATCTTACTGAACACTCAACAAGCATGCTTTGTGTAGTTTCCTAAAGCTTACTAGACTGAACAAGATTACGAGAGAAATGGCCGTGGTTGCAAATGCACAGAAGCGTGCATGCAGTTTGCAGGCAAAAGTTCGGTTATGTGCCCCATTCCAGAGTGCAAGCAGTTCATCGGCCACCGGCAGCTGCGTGCAGTCCTGTCCATCGCTGACTTCGGCCGTTTTGTCCGGCGATCCGTGGAGAACCTTTGCCTGGCAGATCCGCATCTTGCAGCAAGTTGGATACCCTGTGGGCATGTTAGACATGGTTCATACCCTTTCATGTTGCCGTTGTTTGGATACTTCTTGAGATAAATGTACTGCATCCTTAGATGGAGCACCTACGGGCATTGTGGCCTGCAGCAGGTCTCTCATTGCGTGTCCAACTCCCGACTGCCCCTATCGTGCCTGGATTGGCCGCTTACTTGGGATGCAGAAACACTGTTAGCAACAGCTTTGTGGTATCTGTTCGCACATCTGTAAACAGCATTGGAAGCTAAGCTGATGCGCATTAGACGAGACAGCAGACATTGTTTGCGGCGGACACCTGCCCACCATCTGAAATTATAAATCAGCGGGGCCTGCCTAGGGCTCGCAAACGCCACTGCAAGGTGAGGAGGATCGGCCAAGGCTGATCTGTGAAATCTGCTTTACGGAGTCCTGCGTCCGGTGTGGGGCCTCACCCTTCCACCACGGCCTGAGCTGCGCAGAGGAAGCCCGCCGTGCTGCACTCATCATGAGTGGCTACCAGCGTCCGCCACTCATTTGGTCAGGTTTGAAGCGTTTGCTGGGCAGCTTAACAAGAAATTGGCATGCATTCGAAAAGCCCGGGACCTGTGGACTGTGCGGACTTTGTGCCAGGGATGTGAGGCTCTGCTGAGGACAGTGATGTGGGAAGTGTGGGTACTTGTACTTGATTTTTTTGGAACATGGACTGAGATCCAACGCCAACAGTAATTTCCGAAGTTGATCGCTCAACGTATGCGGGGAGGGTTATGCTGCAATTCAATCCTCCGCTGTTGGAACTTTGTTGGCTGAGGTGTCGTCCCACGCATTGAGGAATGTCTGCGTCAAGCTCTCTTCCGCAAATGCCCTGGCTGCAACATGCCTATAGAGCGAACAAACGCTTGCTGCCACATGACGTGCTCCCATTGCCGGACTGAATTCAGCTGGGTGTGCGGCAGGCGGTACGCTGAATGCAGATCATATCACAACTGCTTGACCAATTCCATTTACTTGCAAGACATTTTGGCCGATGAGCTTCGGCGTCGAAACCTTCCAGCAGAGGATGAATTGGCTAGCGATTTGTTTTTGGAGTTCCGCGCTGCTTACCTCTTGGCACAGATCCGGGCTGAAGTTGGCGAAGACATGTGGGGGGCACTGCAGGAGAACAGGCCAGAAATTCTCCAAAACGTAATCCGTGGTCATGGCAGCATTCCTTGGGACAACACTGCACTGTTGGCCCGCCTTCGGCAAGCATTGCCTCATGCCTTCCCTTGATCATTTGGAAGGCTATCTCTCGGACAACGTATTACCTTGCCTTGAGGAAGGGCCTGATCGCACCTCCTGTTTAGCCTGGTGCCTCTGCCATGCCAGAATTTCAGCATTGGCAATCGGAACACAGCAACCGCGGCAACGACCCTGACTCTGCCTCGCGGATGCTTTTCTCTCAAAGCACGGACTCGCGTTGAGTTTGCTGCATTTCGAGCTTGTGGCTCGGCTGCAGCGGGGTTAGTCATTGTAAAGAGTGCACAGGATCAACAGAGGTAGCGAAATAAGATGCGCCACGTAAAGCATGTCAACCCTTGAGCCCAGAAACTCTGCTTGCGCGGGAAGACATGCTACCCCAACCTTCATGACTTTACCAAATCCATCGAGACCTTGGGGGGGACCACCCAGCCTTGCTGGGACAGAAGAACGTGTGCATGGCCAATCCATTTCAAGAGATGGAAATATACTGCAACAGAAGCAAGGTACCTCTGTCATGTAGTTCTGGGCTAGCTTCAAGAGGAACCGAGATTCAAGAAACAGCATTTGATAGCAAAGCCCGGCAGCACCAGACATGGGAATGAGATTTCATCAACGGGCACATCCCTCTGAAAGGTTGCAGAAGCGAATTAAGAGGAGAGAGCTTCTCGCACGACATAGGATCAGCAAAAGCAAGGGAGGCAGAGAGGGAGCGCAAAACGAATGCACAAATCCCAGCTGGCGTACTTAAAGGACCCAGCGGCAGAGCATGATGTCGGGAGTTGCAGATTCTCTATGCAGGGCGTGCAGATGAGATGTCATCAAGCGGACGAGTCATTAACTGTATACTTGAATGATCGAGGACTAAACAAATGAGATTTCGACGTGGTATGGAAATGAGGTCATTATCAAGCAAACAGTTATACTATCATCGAAAAGTTGGGGATGTCCAGGTGACAGGCCACGAGATCCTTGCCCACCGCGCACGGCGTATCTGTCCGTTTAGCTCCAATATGCTCCAACGGTCGGGCGGAGGACTCGGCGCTTTGCCGTGGTTTTTGCAAGGGCCTTGTTTGATGAGCTGGTTCCGATGGACATCCTTCATTGGACGGTAGAAACTTGGCAGGTGTCACGTGCTTAAACTATCCCAATCTGCTGCAAACCTTCAAAAAAGGATTGGATTGGGTTGTGGTTTTTGCTGCGTAGAGTTTGGAGGGCCTTCGCTGCACCCGCGCAAGCTCGCGCTTCTCTGAGCTATATATTTTTTATCACGGGCGAGCTGGCTCGCTCTACCATACAATATTCCTATAATTTTATCAAGATTTGCCTCGCAACCTAGGCTTTTTTGAACGATGATCGCCATTTTTTCAGATATATTAGAAGGTCTTGAGATCCTTTTCGAGTTTATATGCGAAAAGGATTGGCCTGCTGCCTTCAGCAGCGGAAAAAAAATATTTGAGAAAATCTATATCGGAAAATCCAATGACTAAATAATATACATGATCGCACGCAAAACTGGAATGCTGGCAGGCAGACCCTGGCTTAATGTACAGTCCGGCCACAGTAAGCTCCTCCACCAAGGCGCGAGCTGTGCTCTCTTGGGACAGCAGTCCGAAAGGACAAGAATATCTCCAAATAGTAGTGACTAAGTGGCCACTTTCTGTCGGAAAGGTTGCCGTTGAGGCTGCGCCGCCAAATGTGCCCTATATTCGAGTTCGAAATTTTGGAAGGTCTTCAATTACGTGATCTTTTGATCGCCGATTGGAAGCGGCCTCGTAACTAATCCGGTATTTGTGGCGGCTCGGGCGAGCGTATAAATCTCCATGAATAGAATTGATCAATCTAAAAATTCTTAAAGATTTTGATTTTTCGTTTCGGATCTAGACGCAAAAATAAGCAAAGAGAGATAAACCGCACGGAATATATATGATTATATGCAGATTTCTACGAAGAATTAATAAATAAAACGGCTTAAGAAAAGCTATTAATTTAATAGATTCTGAAAGATTTTGGATGGGGGGGGGGTCGTCCAAATATATAAATCTCCGAGAATTGATACGACCGACCCATAAATTGAAGGAGATATTATTTGTCTATCTCGGATCTACGCGTTATTATAAATAATCGCGTCGATGATCTAAGAAAAATAATTTTCGGGAGATATCGGATTCTGATGTAGTTCTCTCTTCCTAATGCCGTCTCATTCCGTCTCATTTATGCGGCGGTTCGAGAGGAGATATATATCTTCTCCGCCCATATATATTCAAAAAAATATTGATTCTCTGTCTCGGGTCTATATATTCCGTCGAGCAATCGCGCAGATAGATAGGCAATCAAAAAGAGATAAATTATATAGAAATCCGTTCCGGAGCTAACAAAGATCTATGCGAGCAGAAATCTCGGAGATTTTTGGTCATGCCGCCCGCACCAAAAATCTCGAAGATTTTAGAGTCTCTAATTTTTCGGAAAGGCTATAAAATCTCCGAGATTTTAGAGCCTCTACGGAATCCGCAGGAAATATCTTAAAGAAGAACCGGAAAATTTAGGATTGCGCACGGAGAAAATAATCGAAATGATTATATCGTCATATAAAGATATTTGGATTCTGCCCAAATCTGAGATAATATCTTGATATTAGGATTCTTTATTCAATTGCGATCTCAGATTATATTTCTTCCCTATGAAATTTAGATATAAGATTTTTGAAATATCTAATCTCATATATTTGACTAATTATCTATCTTTCTATCTATAGATCGATATTTTTAATGGATTTATTCATTTGAGATTCTATTTATTAGGATTTCATTTATAAAAATCTTCATTGTTATCTATATATTTTCTTTTTTTCTATCAATCTTTCTCGATTTCGTCATATTATTTCAATTTATATCAGATTTTTATTTGATGATTTGATTCTAGATATTCATTTAGATAAAAATTGTCTATGAGATATTCTCGATTAATTGAATTATTTCTATAAGAAGATTAATCTATGAGAAGGAAGGAGATGATTAGTCGTATTATTCTTCGATATTTTTTCTTTTTTTCATCTTTTGATTTCAAATTGGAATCTGAATTTAATTATACAGAAATTAATGGGATGATATGAAATTTTTAGATTACGAATATCAGATCATTAATTTTGAATAGACGTAATGAATATTTCAATATTATGGCGTGATCTCGTTCGCGCGCGGCCTAGGTTTTCCGGTTCTCTTTTAAAATGCCTCCTCAGATTCCCTAGGGATCCTAAAATCTCGGAGATTTTAGAGATTTTCGGAAAAATTAATGCTCTAAAATCTTCGAGATTTTTGGTACAGAGGACGCGTTCAAAAATCTCGGAGATTTCTGCTCGCATGCGGTCCTTGCCGCCTCCGGAGCTTATCTCTTTTTGGCTATCTGCGGTTGCTCGTCGGAGAGCATAGATTCGAGACGGAGAATCAAAATCTTTTAGAATCTATAGATTGACAAATCTATTCAAGGAGATATATGCGCTCCCTCGAATCGCCGCCCAGATAATTCAAAAGAGATAAATGAAGCGGAAAGACCTCGTTGGATATGCGATGCGGGGGTCGCGCAATCCGAAATCTCCCGAGATTTCGGTTGGGAGAGACCTGGGGCGGAGATCCAAAAATTTTCAGAATCTACTAGATTGGTTGTTTTTTGTCACGTGCGATCTTATATATTGATTATTCGTCGGGATTCACGTGCGATCTTATATATTCTACGGAATTTATCTCTCTTTGATTATCGACGCGATTATTCGGACGAACGCGTAGATCCGGAATGCAGAATCAAGATCTTTCAGAATTTATAGATTGCCCGTATCTATTCATGGAGATATATACGTTCCCCCGAGCCGCCGCGCAGATAGTCCAAGAGAGACGAGTGAGGCGCAAAGACCGAGTTGGATTCAGAGATCGCGCGATCAAAGGGGTCGCGTGACCAAAATTCTCTCAAGATTTTGAGTTATTTCTCTCTTTGGCTGTCTGCGCGGCGGCTCGGATCTAAAATCTATCAGAATCTATAGATCATAGGACGGTCTTAAGATCTTGATAATTCATCTGATTTCGTGTCCGACCTTATATATTATTTGATCATCGGATTTCACGTTATAGATTTTCTCAAATAAATATTTTCTATTGGAATAGATAGTGCTCTAACTCTAGTTTCATTTAAATTCATAGATATCGGATATATCTATTCAATATATGAGAAATATAATGAATAAGGATGAATAGAGAGGAGAAGAATTATGAATATCACTATTCGTATTTATAGGATAAACGGATAGAAGATATCATAATTTTTTATAATTACGATATATGAGAAAATATATTATTTCTAATTTCGTTTCTATCGATTAATTAATATTATTCGAATTTAGGGAGAGGAATCTCGAATTCATATATTGGAATCAATTTTTCATAAATCGAATAATATTCGTTATCGAATATCATAGGAATATGATGATTATTCTTTCGCTATTCTATTTATTCAAATTATATTATTCTGAATTTTGGATTATTAATGATATATAAAATTTTATGAAGATGATGAATTTGGATATATTCTCATTCTAAAGAGAATAATCTCATATAATATATTTATGAGATTGAGAAATAGATTGGAAATATATTTAATATATATCATGATGAAGAAAAATTTCTCTGATAATATTTCAGATATTTCATAATTTATATTTATTAAAATCATATATGATAAAGATTCTTAAATTCGCTCATCTCCCGAAATAAAAATTCCATGAATAATTAAATTTCTATGATTTCTTCATTTTTTGAAGAAATCTAGAATGATGAATAGGAATAAAATCTAGTTCAGATATTTTCTGATATTTGATTTTCTAGTATTATATCATATGATTCTCTTCATAGATAATTTGGTTCTAATTATCTGATATCATTATTTGAATTAAATATAAAAAAAAGATAGGATTTCAAAATATTTTTCAATATATAATCTATCATATTTTATTCAGAAGATTTGAAATATAAATCTTCATCTTGATGATCTAGATAAGAGATCTATTGGATATATCAATATTCTCATAAATCATTCTCGTCAATATCTTTAAAATTTCTATCTTCGAACTATTCAAAAAGATGATTAAAGAAGATTATAAGAATGATTAAATAGAATTAAGAATTAATCATCATTTATCATCATTTTCTCTTATAAGAGGAATCTTTCTAGAATTCTTCTCTATTCTTATATTTTAGATATATTTATATATTCATACGATTCTAAAAGATTTAGAAATTTCTATCTAGAATCTGAAGGATCTGAAAATGATAAATATTTATTGATTTCTATTTCTTATTCATCCTATGATGAATATTATATATATATAATAGGGCTCCTTCATGAAATTCATATCGAAATATTTCATATAATTCAGAATCTATAATAGATAAGATGATAATTGAAAATTCGTTTGAGATATTATATATAATGATCATTTTTATTAATCTATATCAATCATATTAAATATTAACCATATAAGATTATATTCGGCGATTCTATATATCATCTAATATAATTTCTATATCGTTGATCCCTTCCCATCTAATCATCATGATAAAATCAAATCTATCCCAATCTTATTGATATTCTTGATTGAAAAAAATGGAGAAATTGATTTTCCTATTAGATAGATTAATTAGTTGAAGATAATAAGAAGATATCTCTTCTATATTATTATTGAGAATGAATCAAAATGAGATCCTAATTATATTCATGATATTAGCAAAAAACATATTAATATCATGAATATAATTGATATCATAATTTGATATGATTATATAATTAAGATCTAGAGGAATCAAGATTTCATAGAAAAAATTATATCTTTCCTCATATTCTCTATATATATAGATCATTTATTGAATCCTATGAATTTCTTTTTTTATTTGATTATATCTTCGCGGATCTTGGAGAATTGAAAGATAATAGATAATTTTTCATATTTATTTCGGATAGATATAAATTCTTTCTAATTCAATTATTTTGAAAAGATCGTTTCTCGATAATTCTGAGTCCTCTCTAGGCTAATATGATATTGGATATAGATAGATTGATCTAAGAGAAAAGGCCTTGCATATCTAAAGATTCCAATCAATATTCTCCAATCTTAATATTGAAAAAAATTCTCTTAGAGATCAAATATCTAAAAAGATTGATTTAGAATATACGATAATATATAGAATCGTGATCTTATTCATGAAAATCTTTATTCTCCGACCGATTAAATATCTATAATTCGGAGATCTATATCTTTCCTGGATATCAAATTGAATCTGAGAATCTGCATCTCAAATCTGAAAAGAAAGATTTAATAGATATTGCGATATTCTCTCTTCATAAGATAATATAGAGCCTTTTTTCTGATCATCAGAAATAAGATATCTCCATTTTTGTCGATTCCTAATCAGATAGATCAATTCAAATATTATTCCAAATTAGTTCTTTGAACTATATTCTCATATTATCATCTATGATATTCTTTCTATATCTTTGAATAGATCGATATCTAAAGAAAATATGATAGATCGACGATATCTTCAATTTACAATTCGTGCATATATCTCATATATATCCTAATTCATTTCCTATCATATCTATCAGATCAATATCTTATAGATATCTTATTTATTCTCATTATTCTTTGCAGATATATTGAAGATTCAATTGATATTTCGATTATCTCTCATTTTTTCTTTGGATATGATAATACGTAATTATTGAAAGAATATAGATGACGGATGATGATCTAGAAATATTCAAGAAATATATTCAAGATAATTCATATTGATATTTTCAAATATATTCCGAAAAATAATTTTATAGAACCTCTTGCTACTATCTCCCCCAGATACGAATTGATTTTCTAGAATTGAGAGACGAGATCCTTGAATAGATGATATAAAAATCAATTACCATTATTTTCTTCTAATCTTGTCATTGCCATTTTATTCATTCGATATCTTCTTTTTCATTCTATTCGTCGCGGGCAATAATAACGATATCTAATTAGAAGATGAATATTGATTCTTGATTTTCTTTTTATTTATCTATTAAATAAATTCAAGAAATTAATTTTGAATCAGATGAATATTTGGAGAATATCTCATAGAAATCCGATTGACCAAATTCCTGTCCGGGCCATAAACGCCTTTCGCATTTCTTTCGTGCGCCTTTCGCGAAATTCCGTTCTATAATATCTGCCCCGAAACGAATTGACAGATATCGATAGATAATGATATTGAGGATGAGAATTGTTGAATATGCCCATATTTCTGAAATACGAAGGAAATATTCGGTCGGCATGAGCGCAACAAATTACTAGCTCTTCTATATTGAGAATTATAGGATTTATCCGATTGCAATAAGTAGCCGCGCGCGATTCTTTTTAGAAATTCATGGTCGTGAAAATCAAAATAATCCTATCATGAGGAAAAAAAAACCGTATGCGTATGCAACGATGCAATTATATCGCATTATAAAAGAAATTTATTCAAATTGATTTTTGAACCTTTCGTGAATCTTTCATCCGCAATATTTATAAGTCATATATCCTCATATTTATAGATTTTCAAATATGAATTTTTAGACGATCCTCATTTCCATTATATTTTTCAGAATTATAATAGAATTTGTCTAAATTAATCATTTCTTATCTATTATATTATATAAAAAAATTCTTTTCTATATCTTAAATATCTTCTATCAGATTATATAAAAAATCAATCAGAAATAAATTATGAAGATATCTTTTCCGTATTTTAAATATTTTCTATATCGAATTATAAAAATATCTTTTCCATATTTTGAATATCTTCTATATCGAATTATTCTTTAGAATATATATTTTTGAAATCCTTTTTATCTATATATCCTGAATTCCTCGAATCTTATTATATTTAAAAATGATGACGAAATCTTATTCAAATATCTTTAGATTATCATCTCTCCTCCCTAAGCATCTTTACATTAAATTCCTTATTCAATCTTTTTAAGAAATCTTTGAATCTTGAATATCTCATATCCATATCTCCTTATGCGAGCCTCCAAAGAATTTTCTTAATCCCAGATATCTCTTCTCCATTCATTCCCCATCTCATATTTATTCAACATAGGGTAACGTGGCAAAAGCCGCCAAAAACAATAAATGTCCTTTGAAAGAATGGCGGGAAGCTAGAAATTTTTGGTTCCTAAATAAGAACAAAAGATATCAGATTTGATTTGAACGGATTGGAAGCAAGCAAAATAGATGTTCTTTGAAGCAATATTTGAACGGCTTAAAAACGAAGCAATATAGATATCCTTTTAAGAAATACGAGAGATTGAGAATTAATTGATTAAAATGAAATAAAATAAGATTCTTTGGAAAGAATAGCGAGAGATTGAGAAGGAGGCTCCTAAACTAGTGCCAAAGAGAGCGTAAGAAAGCACGTCAGATTTTATTTGAACGAGTTAAAAAAGAAATAAAATAGATATCCTTTCAAAGAATCGCGAGAGGCTACAAATTAACGGATTAAAATGAAATAAAATAAAATTCCTTGGAAGGAATGGCGAGAGGCTGCGAATGAGGCTCCTAAATTAAGGCCAAAAAGAACGTGGCAAAGGACGTCAAATTTGATTTGAATGGCTTACAAAAGAAGCAAAGTAGGTGTCTTTTAAAAGAACCGCGGGAGGCTTGGATTTCCCTAGACATTTTTTGTTTTCCCAAGGCGCTTAGTGGTAGTGGGTAAGGATTGCCTGAGGCGGCCTCGAGCTCGATTCCCGCCGGGGTCGCTTGGTATTTTCCCAAATGGGCGGCATTGCCTTTCAAGGCTTCCCTTAAAAACAAGATTCCCGCCTGTTTTCTCGTCCCCTTCTTTGCCCTCCTCCTTTTCCAAGCATGCCCTCACCAGCGACCCGCGGGAATCCGCTTTTTGGATGACTCAGGCCATAAAAGCATTCAAATTCTGACTCTCCACGATCACTCAAAGGATGCATACCTGACATATACAAGACCCTCAAAGGACGTCAGTTTTCGCCCACGCAATACATACCTCCAAATCCACCACCCTTTGACTCTCCACGTTCACCCAAAGAATGCATACCTGGCCATATACAAGACCATCAAAGGACATCAGTTTTCGCCCACGCGATACATACCTCGCCAAATCCACCAACCTTTGACTACCATATGTAAAGCTGTATAATTAGTCGGGGAATTATTTCTTTGTTGTTGATTTTGTATTGTTGTTGTGGTTTGGAACCCCCCTTCGTGTCCATTCCCCATCTTATATTTGCTCAGAGCCGTGCGCACACCCGGGCTGAGACAGACAGAGCATAGCGACTACCATCAGCGCTTATTTTAGAGACATGTTCTATAACCGTTATTCGATCGTACGATCTGTGCAAATCTGCCAACTCTTTTGCAATCCGAAAATGTGAAATTACCCTAGCCTAGTTTTTGCTAATTTTCCAATCATCTTTTGACAAAGGGATTTACTGGGGCTTAGTAGGGAATAACGGCAAATATCTCATATAATCTATGTATTTTATAGAAATTATGGGCCCGCAGTACGAGGCCATGTATTATAGTAATACCATAGCATAGTATGATGTGCTATGGTATGCTACAATATGCTACAGCTGTGATTTCTTCAAGCCAGTGACTAGATTTGTTTTTCAAGCTATTTATCTTGGAGGGCATTGGCTTTTGATCCTAGGTCTGATTTTCCTCACCTGACGGTAGGCACAAGGTTGTGCTTAACGAACCCTGGCGTAAGTGGAAGAGGAGGCCAGCATGTGCGGTCCTTTTGTTCTCGCATCTACGGTGGAGTCTGGATTGCCTCAGAGGCGGAGGACATGAAGGGGATTGGGCTTGGTTTTTGAGAATGGCCAAGGTGAAATCTCCACGTGGGGCTTGCTTGTGAAAGAGTTTCAGGATCCTTCAGCTCGTCAGCTTATCCTCAGGTCCCAGCGTTCGGCTCTGAGAAGTTGTCGAACTTCTTCCTCTGCCACGATGGCGCCCTCCGCTGCCTTTTCTGCCCAAGCTGCCTTAGAGCAACTCCGTGCTGTTCAATCCTGCAAAACTGAGAGCCAGGACTGCAAGAGTCGAGTACGGGACAGTTTGGGGTCGTCCCAGTCTGGCACATTGTCCGAGCCCTCATCCTCACGCTTTTTCTGCCTGGCAGAAGAAGAAGAGACAACACACAGAGTTGGCCACAAGAATCGTCCACAGCCGCGCCGACCTCGTCTTGCCCTACAGTTCGGCTACAACTTCTGGTAAGCCTGTGATTCTTAACTCTGAAAAAGAAACGGCAAAAACCATTGCAAGAAGCATAGCATCAACCAGCATATCAGCAAACCGGATACTAGCATGAGCAACGACTGCTGTTCATGGTCTTGCCCGCGCTGAATTTTTGTATCCGCAGGAAAAGGCTCGATAGGCTGAAGTCAGCATCTACTTGTAATTCTCACAGGAAATGCCACATACCGGTTCCGGGGATTTGATTTGGGCAAGCAAACGCGTGGCACCTTACTCTTGGGGCCTCTGGGTCGATAAACCTGGCCTCTTGAATGATGATAGATCAACAAGTATGTTGGCAAGAAAAATTATACAATAATTCCTGTGCTAGTTGACAAGTCTGAAGACTTCGGTACAGGCCTTCTCTCCTGGGCGACCTTTGCAGCCAATCTTCGCAGACGTGGGAGTTCCGCCTGCCGCAGAATTCTGGGGCTAAGGTTGCGGTACGGTTTGTTGAAGCTTTTGAGGGTCGCGACATGGCTCTGAGAGGATTGAATGAAGGTTGTGTAGACTATGGAGTAGGCTGCCTGCAAAATCTGGCCTTGTCTGGCTGTTCTTCAGTTTGTCAGGGCGTTTGGCAGCTTGTGTTCCTAGACTTCTGAAGCCGAATTTGGCTCACCCATTGTGAGCCTGGCATAGCCTCGGGATCTTGAGGAGCAGAATCGGTGATGCTGCTTAGCCTTTGATACTCCCTTTTCATTCAATTGCCACGAAGCCTCGCTCTGAATTTCAGCAGAACCTGGAGAACAAGTCGAGACAGAAGCGATGCCCCTACTACTCGAGCTGACTTAATTACCGGGTCTTGCGTTCACTTTGGATACCCTCCGTGGATCTAGTGCTGGGTTCAGCACCAAGCATCAACATGCAGCCTGCAACTGCTGGAACCGCTCTTTCCCAAGAAGGACACGCAAAGAGTTGACACCTCGCGAGCGCAGGCTTGTGGCATCCCAAATGTGGCGGCCGAATCCAAGAAGAAAGGTTCAAAAGATTGTCCGATGATGATCACGCAGCAAGCTATGGCATTCTGCGGCATTCTCCTCGAAAGCTATCTCACCTTCAAGAACAGCTCAAAGTGCTTCTAGGCTCTGAAAATCAAGCGGATTCTCAATCCTGGACGGCCGACCACTTTGCAAGAATCTTTCGAGTTCGCAGCACCCGCCCTTATGAGTACTGAATGCGCCGCCCGATTCGGAAGATCAATACCAGGACAAGTGCAGATCAATGCGCGGGACGGGAGGCGAGGGCTTGTCTTTTAAAGCAATGCTAATCCTCCTATTCCCACCCTATAATTTGACGGGTCTCATTCTGCTGCCGTGGCGCTGAAATTGTTTGGCATATGACCATTGGCTAGCATTTGACCTGCCAAAGGCAAGGGCATGCTTGCCTGGGTTTGGTTGGGCTTGCAGGTCAAATGAATGCAAGTCAGCAGAACAATGTCATGCCCATTTTTGCGGCTGCGTGCCAAAAAAAAAGCTCACGAAAGAAGCGCAGGTTCAAACTCATGTTTGCTGCAATGCTTGCTTGCTAGGAGACCTTCTAATGCATGCCAGAGATGCGCATCATGGATTCGGCCAGGTCAGGATTTCTCTTCCTCTTGCCTGGCATTAGCTGCACTTCGGAGGACGCTCTGGCTGGTGAAGCCCTGCGGCTTTAGTCTCTGAGCCAATGGCATGCTGAGATGACCCAGTTGTAGACTGGGGTGTTCGGGCTGTGGTTTGCCTGTCAAACAAACATGTGGCCAGCACAACGAGATGCAAAGCATGCATACAGCAAGTTCTTGTAGAAAGGAGGCTACCAGCGGAATGCAAACAGGGCGACCGAGCCATGATGCAGAAGCCATTGGGGCGCCCAGCAGAACTCAACACAAATAATGCTTGATGGGGTTCCCAAAATTAGGGGTATTTTTGTAAGGGTGTCCCATAATGAGGATCGTGCTTTTTTGGGGTCTATATTGCTCCGCGGTATCTCCGAGGTTCGAGCAATTCAGCGCAACACCACAGAAGGCATGTGGGGTCTATATTGGGGCCCCCCTATTTTGGGAAACTATCAGATGCACTTCTATGTACTTTAAATTGTGTATGCGGAAGGGTCTGCACAGGCTGCCTCGGTCATTGTCTGAAGCCAGGCCGCGGCTTCCATGTCGCGGTTGCTCCGAGCCAGGCCAGTAATTATCCGAGCCTCTAGGCATTCTTGTGAGCTGTAGTCTCAGCTCCTCCTGAATAATCCCTTATGTAACCCCCGCTGAGGAGTTTAGATTATGGTTCTTGTAGGGAGGATGAAGGGATGATGTAGGGATTGTGGGATTGTAGTGGCTTCAACAGTTCTTTGCTGGTACCACGCGCGTTATAGATACTGACGCTGTTCCTTGGAATGTTCTGATTACTTCTCATCCAGAGGTTGCAGTCACAATGAACCTTCTGCTGGTATCATTGTATGGCCGAATTTAACAACCCTTCTGCCGGAACTCTTCAACGGCATCCCCACCATGACAGGCAGCAGCATACGTGTGAAAGAACCGCCGCATCCTTTGAGCGCAGCCAAGACTCGTAAGCTGACGCGTCGGGCTTGAAAGATGCCTCCTGCATAAGCCAAAATGTACGTGGGCTGCTTCAAAATAAGCCGTTTTGGGCTACTTTCCGTGATACGTGATATGGCATCAAGTGTGCTGGAAGTTAAGAAGGGGCCTCCGTTTGAAATCTATTCACAGATTCACTCAAGTCAAGTCTGTAGTGCCCACTCTTGTATAAGGGCGTGCATCTCACCTACTCTGTGGCAGCCTATGGTATGAGAAGAGATTGCTTTGGACCTCCATGCCAACCAGCACCTCGATGGCGTCTTCCACTTGGTTGGCCTGTACAGTCTAGAGCAGTGCTGCTTACAGGTAGTGTCATCAGGCACCAAGTGTGCGAAACAGACATAGGGCTCACCTCAGGGGAACTTAAGCTAAATGTCATGTTCCCAAGAGCCACAGTGCACACTTGGTTCATTTGTGTTGATGCGTAAACCACTTATCCAGCAGTATGCCTTGGTCAGCGCATTGATGGTTGAAGAGTAGGTCACTGCATTGGGATTGACCTTTGCCTGTCAGCATGGACCAGCAGGGACAGAACAGAAGAAATTCAACAACACAAACTCCCATTGGCAGGTCCCAAACAGGGACCAACTAACTGTCGAAGCGGTTCTTTTTGAAAAAATCGACAGATTCGCACCTCTTGCATCTGCGTCAACCAGCGCTTCGCCTCCAGACCGGCCACTGCAACGCGTTGGGAAGGTGAAGTAACTTCAGGTGTTGTTTTTTCGCCTGTTGCCCTTCACAAATCAGTGCAGCGACTTTTTCCTGAGGCTACACAGCATCCCGAGTGTGCTCGGCATCGGAACTTCAGCGCCCGCCGCCAATGCAGGCCTTCGTGCAGGCCTCAGAAATGGCAGGCCCTATGCTGCTCTACGCTGCTGGCAGTGAGCTCAAATGTTGGCATGTGCAGGATGTGGCTCAGCATGCATGCTCACTATGGGTTCCAGCCGAAATTCACCCACTGCCGCATTGAAGGTGGCGACGTTCAGCTCAAAGCCTGCGACCTGCGGCATTCCAAAAAACCTCTGCAAAATGCTGTTTCGTGTACGGTTGCTCGTTGCCTGGATTGCCATTAAATGTCCAGTGTTCGCTGGTAGGCCCGACTTATGACGCCACAGGCTTAGAAGCATCGCAGGTGGGCGCGGCTACATGGGTCAAGTAGTCATGGCTCAATACATCATTTCAAGTTCTCGCAGAAAATTGTAAATCTTTGGGGTGCGCTTGGTCAAAGCTGCACACATACGGTGGATGGAGGACCTCTGGCACCACTTAGGATCCCCAACGTACTGTAACTCCTATAAAGTATAAACGGTAGAATGTATATGGACGTTATCCAATTTTACTTCATAACGTGCAAAATGAACTCTTCGCGGAAATACAAAGTTCCTTTCGCGAACACCATCGCGAGCTTTCGCGGAAGCATGCTTGCGGCAGAGACCAAGCCCTGAACTCTTAAAAGAACTCTTGACCCATAGCCTCAACTCCAAAACCGAACCTGTAAGACCACAAAGCATGCCGGGAAGGTGAAGTGGGGTTAGAACTTACCCAAGCCCTTAATCAACTCCAATACCGAATTGCAGAAGCTACAGTATGTCGTGTCCGATGGCTTGGAATGCTGGGGACTTGCTCGACTTACGCAACCTTTCGCGGATCTTTCGCGGTTTTTTGGGTAAGAATTCTGAGCCTGATCCTGTGCCTCAGAAAGACTTGCAACCCTTTCCCTTTGAGCATGCATGGAAGCATGCCTGCATTGTATTTGAAAGCAAGTAAGGAACTATAGCTTACGATGGTTCTTTCGCGAAATGCAAAGTTCCTTTCGCGCGCACCATTGCGACCTTTCGCGGAAGGCCTTCTAAGCCAGCCGTGGTCATTTTATATAAAATTTCCTTTTATGGGTTCCCATATAGGGTGGTGCAAGATTTCCCCCATCCACAATGCCATCCCCTCAAAGCAAATTTCACAACTTCCTTCCTTTTCTACTTCATTCCGCCCTTTCCTTCGCTCACATGCAGCACATCGTCATGCAATTTGCCACGTTGCGCACGATCATACCTGCATGTATGATGTTGTTCACGCATTCAAGCAGGTTCGTTGATGTCTCGTAAGTTTGTCGCGAAAGCTGGAGGATGTTGCAAGGGGATGCGCTTCCCTTGCAGGTTGACCTGACCATAACTGAACTTGTCCGTAAGTCTTGCACTAGAGAAGACTCGAATTTGAAACTCTGACCGATGAATCCTGACTATGGATGTGGAAGCTTTCACAAATCCCCGCAGCCTCCACTTCCCATAGGAGCCATTGCGCCGGAGCCCATTGGCCAATTTTCTTTCGCGCGGAGATGGCAGAGCCTCTACTTCCACAAAGCTCCGAGCTACATCTCTTGGGCTGCAAGCAGGAGCTCCACCCCAACGCTTTGACATAAACGCATCTGCTGCCATGGCGCGGAACGATACCACGCTGGCTTCCACATGTTGCCAGCGCATGTCACGAAGAAATGACGTCGTCAGTTCCCAGCGGCCTGCGGCACACGCAAATTTGTCTGGCTAAGGAAGCCCAGACCCAGCGGAGTACTCAACTGGTTTTTAATGCGTTAAGGCTCTTATGATGCGAGAAAACCCTTCCACCAAACCCTTCTGCGTCCTACGGCGGCCTAGAGTATCCTCAAATTTTAATGTCCAGCATATGGTGGCTTCTGCACATTTTCCAGGAACTTTTTCGCTTCCGCAGAGTATTCCCTACTCATGGAAGACTTTCGCGGCACCTTCCGCGTCCCTTCCGCAAAGCGACCCCTGCCAGAAGCCTTCCGCAGCCACAGTCCGGCACACAGTTTTCAGATTGATCTCAAGTTCTGTGTCGCCAACAAATTAGCCGAAGACTAGCTGCTCAACTTGGTTACTTGACATCACATACAACTATAGAGTTTACGTAGATGTCCAGGTAATGTTGCAATAGCTTTAATGAAGAGACTCTCGCGAATGTCTTTCGGAGGCCGCTTAAAGAGTTTCATTTCAGGCAAACACTTCCTGCATCTGGTTCGGATTTAAGGGCGCCCTAACAGAATGCACATGAGCCCCTGTAAGCCAATCCCGACCGACCTCAGAACCGACGACATGTTAAAAATGACGCGCGTTCTCAATGTTCTGTCCCAAAAAACTGTTCACGCGACCCCCAGGTTCAAAAAGGTGCATTATTATTTGGTATCTGAACAACTAAGCTTGCAGTTTTAAAAGCACTCTGCCTTTCTCTGAGGCACTTAGCAGCCCATTGCAGGCCACAGTAGTGCCCGGAAAGTTGAAGCGCTTGCCGTCGTCTAACAAGAGCAGCGCAACCGGCCAATGGCCTGCCCAAATTCAAAGCTTCGGCGGCTAGAAAGCCAGCTTGTCGTGGCTGAATGCACTGAAAGGCTTCTAGGCAAAGGCTCCTTCAGACGAACCTGGGACTCCGCGTCAGCCCAGAACACCATACGAGGCCACAAGCTGAAACAACGCAAGCCGCAGCTCCACGTATCTAGAACCTATAAAAACAAACATGCATCAGGAAGTTCATGTCTTCTCTGGTCCGCCTCTGGAGTCTAGGCAGGTAGCAAAACAAGCAACCCAGCTTTGGAACCGGTTTTGCATTTGAGTCAGCCAACCCAAGCGAGCGTATGTCGCACTTCTGGCCCATATACCCAAAAGCCTATGATCGCTCCGGCTCAAGCAGTCCAAGCTCTTACAAGCTCTTTTGCAAGGAAGCCTCCTCCCTTGCACGCGTTCACAGCTGCGTTGTATGTGATGGCCTGAGTCTTGTTCACAACAACCAGCATTTCACAAACAAAACTTCTGCGCGCATGCTCAAGAGATCCCTAGCTGGCACATCGAGTTGCACTTGGCTCAATCAGCTTTACCCGTAGCTCCGTCAGCAGCCACAGTGCCTGATGGATGGTGGCTTGTCTTAGCAACACACATCGAGCATTAAAATCTTCCTGTTATGAGGACGTGTGCCAATAAAACGTGCATTCGCAGCGCATTGGAAGCGAGTCATTGGCTGAAGTAGACTAGAACTGTGGTTGACCATTCTTCTGATGCCGTATAGAACTTCCCATCATTGTGCTCTGTGTACCCTGATTTTTGTGAACAACCAACTGGTTGGACTCAAGGGGCTTGTGAAATCAAAAGGTCACAGTCGGAAGCCTTCAGACAGGTCCGGTCTAGTGCCATGCCATTCCATGTTTGGCTCCACCCATTTCGTCCAAAATCGTCCTTTTGGCAAGAAACCTTTGTTCATGAAGCCTCTATGCTGTTGGCAGTTCATATCTTCGCCCTTCCAGCTCAGGGCCTCCTCCCAGCGAGCACACTTCTCGCAGGCACTGATGGCAGCGTTGAATGAAATCCTCGACTTAGCAGAAACTGCAATATGCATCGAAATTCTGTGCTTAGAGCGCCTTGCCGAAGGCAGCATGGTTCAAAAATCCCGCACTTCTCCCAACATGTCTTGTGCTAGGCCTGAAGCAGCGGAGTGCATCAGCATATTTGCTCCAAGGTTCACGTCTGCTCTGATTCCTGGATATGCCTGTAAGTCCTCTAGCAGGCTAAGCGCTTCCTCCCACTTGGCCTCAGCTGTGCGTGAGGTTAACATATGTCATGGACTTTGTGGAGTCTGACATGTCTTCCCTCCAAGCTGAACCAGCCATCGGTCCAGTGGCTGCCTTCTCGCAGGCGCTGATGGAGGCATTGTATGCAATGACATCCACCTTGCAGCAAGGAAGAAACTTTGGAGTTGCGCCTGGCTCACCTGGGTGTGGGTTGGAGATCCCAGCTCTGCCTGGAGCAGTTCTTGCATGCCCATCAGAAGCGCGAGAGCACGGCTCCATTCACCGCCCTTCTCACAAGCAGTGATCAGGGAGTTGCAGGTGACCAGGTTCCACTCCAGGCCCTCATGGCTCAGGAGGTCGAAAAGCTGCAGTGCCCATGGCCACTCTCCGACCCTAGCACAGGCCCCAATCCTGAAGTAGGGGATCGGCTCTCATGAGCCCCCAGAAACGAAAAATGTGTTAGTTCAGCCATAGAATCCCTGTGCTGTAGGTGACAATGTCAGGCGCGAAGCCTTCCGCAATAAGCTCTGCCTGAGAACTTCTTCCGTCAACAAATGCAAGCGGGTTGCTGCGGTGCGATGGCTTGCCACTGTATGCACTAGAAAGCAAGCTATTGACAGAGATGTGTGCAGACGAGCAGCCATGAGCTGCAGCGCGTGCTCCCACAATCCCTGGCTCTCACATGCGCTGATGGCCGCGTTGCATGTGAGAACCTCAAGGTGATGTGTAGCGCGGGAGTCTCAGCCAGAAGCACAAACATTCCTCCAAGACACGCTGCGGCCGGTCGACCGCTCCTTCATGTCGCCAAATAAAAGCAATGCCACTTCCCACTGAGAACTGCGAGCACCTTGCCGCTGGCACCACATTATGCCACAGAGTCTGTACCGTCATTCTACCAAGCCCTACTTTGCAAGTACTGAAAACATGGCATTCAATCGGAGCAGCTGGCGCTCATGGCAGTGGTGAATGTTATGACATTTGCTCGCAGCTTCTGCAAGTCCATGTCCAGCAGGAGGCCGAGGGCTTGTTGCCATTCTTCTGCGGTCCTTGCCGTGATCACGCAAGCATAGATGGTGACAGGCGCTGCTGCTTGCGTG